TTACTTTGCTCACACTCCAACAGACGTCATGTATTAAAAACCATTTTGTCTCCATTCACTCCTATCAAACACGCTCACGCATGCCTGCGGGAAAGGGTCCAAGCCCCTCGCACACAAAACCTCCTTTACCCCCTCCCTCCAACTTTCCTGGGCCGACCCCTCCCCCGCCTTCCTTCCACTACAGACAGATACACTCTTGAAGTGACTCTGTTTCGCTCCATTCTCTCTACATGTCCGAACCAAACCTAAACAACCCTTCCCCTCAGCCCTCTGGACAACAGTTTTGGTATCCCGCACCTCCTCTAACTTCCAAACTACGAATTCTCGGCATTATTTTTCACACCACACTTTCCCCCTCAGACATGACATCCCCACTGCCTCCAGCCTTATCCTCGCTGCAAACTTCATCACCCACGTTCACACCCATATAAGAGCGTTGGGTAAAACTATACTCTCATACATTCCCCTCTTTGCCTCCAAGGACGAAGTTCTTTGTTCCCACAGCTCCTAAGTGCACCACTCACCCCTTTTCCCCATCAATTCTATGATTCACCTCATCTTTCATAGCCCCATCCGCTGACACGTCCACTCCCAAATATCTGAATACATTCACCTCCTCCATACTCTCTCCCTCCAATTTGATATCCAATCTTTCATCACCTAATTTTTTTGTTATCCTCATAACCTTACTCTTTCCTGTATTCACTTTTAATTTTCTTTTTTGCACACCCTACCAAATTCATCCACCAATCTCTGCAACTTCTCTTCAGAATCTCCCAAGCACGTGTCATCAAACAAAGAGCAACTGTGACAACTCCACTTTATGTGGATTCTTTATTTTTGCTCCCCACCTTTGCCAAGACCCTCCATTTTTCTCTTACAACCCCATCTATAAATTATTAAACAACCCCGGTGCATCCACATCCTTGTTTAAGGCCCCTTTTACGGAAATAAATTTCCCCTTTTTCCCACATACTCTAAATTGGCCCCACATCCTCTAAAAAAACTTCATGCTTTCAGTAACCTACCTCCCACCCATACACCGCAAAACTGCCACATTCCCCCCCATCCACCCGTCATACCCTTTTCCAAATCCAAAATGCCACAAAGACCTCTTTAGCCCTTTTCTAAATACTGTTCACTTATTGTTTTTACTGTAAAAACCGGTCCCCCACCCCCCTACCTTTCCTAAAGCCCCCTTGTTCATCTCTTCCCATTCCCCGTCTTACTCTTTAAATTTTTTAATAATAACTCAATACCTTTACCAGGGAACTCAACAGACTTATCCCCATAATTTTTTTTCCCTCTCTTTTGTCCCCCTTTTCCTTTTACAAGGAACTATGCATGCCTCTGCCAATCCCCCAGGTACCTCCCCCTTTCCCTACTTTATTAATAATTGCCCAACCCCCCAAAAATATATCCCCACCCGCTTTTAACATTTCTATCTTTTCCCCTCAATCCCGGCTGCCCTTTCCCCCTTTTTTTTTACCCACTGCCTCTGAATTCCCCCCCACCACAAAGGCTTTTCATCCTACAAATGTTTTTCCTCCTTGCCCTATCAAAATCCAGCTTCCCATCTTCACAACATTTAACATTCCAAAAAAATTCCCCCATCTTCCCCAAAACCCTAACCCCCTTTAATAACTCTCCTCTCCTATTTTTAAATGACAAATCCATTTGTTATCTAGGCTTCCTTAACTTGTTAATCTCACTCCAAAACTTTTCTTATTTTCAACAAAATTTGTTGATAACATCTCACCCACTCTCTCATTTGCCTCTTTTTACATTGCTTCACCACTCTCTTAACCTCTCTCTTTTTCTCCATATACTCTTCCCTCCTTTCATCACTTCTACTTTGTAAAAAACTTCTCGTATGCTAACTTTTTCTCCCTTACTACTCTCTTTACATCATCATTCAACCAATCGCTCCCCTTCCTCCTGCACCCACTTTCCTGTAACCACAAAACTTCTGCTGAACACTCTAACACTACATTTTTAAACCTACCCATACCTCTTCGACCCCATTTCCTATGCTCTCATTAGCCATCTATCCTCCAATAGCTGTTTATATCTTACCCTAACTGCCTCCTCTTTAGTTTTATAAACCTTCACCTCTCTCTTTCCCTGATGCTTCTATTCTCCTTGTATCCCATTCTACCTTCTACTCTCAGTGTAGCTACAAATAGAAAGTGATCTGATATATCTGTGGCCCCTCTATAAACATGTACATCCTGAAGTCTACTCAACAGTCTTTTATCTACCAATACATAATCCAACAAACTACTGTCATTTCGCCCTACATCATATCTTGTATACTTATTTATCCTCTTTTCTTAAAACATGTATTACCTATAACTAAACCCCTTTCTATACAAAGTTCAATCAAAGGGCTCCATTATCATTTACACCTGGCACCCCAAACTTACCTACCACACCCTCTCTAAAAGTTTCTCCTACTTTAGCATTCAGATCCCTTACCACAAGACTCTCCCACTTGGTTCAAAGGCTCCTATACATTCACTTAACATCTCCCAAAAATCTCTCTCTCTCCTCTACATTCCTCTCTTCTCCAGGTGCATACACGCTTATTATGACTCACTTTTCGCATCCAACCTTTACTTTAATCCACATAATTCTTGAATTTACACATTCATATTCTCTTTTCTCCTTCCATAACTGATCCTTCAACATTACTGCTACCCCTTCCTTTGCTCTAACTCTCTCAAATACTGCAGATTTAATCCCATTTATTTCCCCCCACCAAAACTCCCCTACCCCCTTCAGCTTTGTTTCGCTTAGGGCCAGGCCATCCAACTTCTTTTCATTCATAACATCAGCAATCATCTGTTTCTTGTCATCTGCACTACATCCACGCACATTCAAGCATCCCAGTTTTATAAAGTTTTTCTTCTCTTTTTTAGTAAATGCCTACAGGAGAAGGGGTTACTAGCCCATTGCTCCCAGCATTTTAGTCGCCTCATACGACACGCATGGCTTACGGAGGAAAGATTCTTTTCCACTTCCCCATGGACAGTAGAATAAATAAAGAACAAGAGCTATTTAGAAAAAGGAGAAAAAACCTAGATGTATGTATATATATATGCATGTGCATGTCTGTGAAGTGTGACCAAAGTGTAAGTAGGAGTAGCAAGATATCCCTGTCATCTAGCGTGTTTATGAGACAGAAAAAGAAACCAGCAATCCTACCATCATGCTAAACAGTTACAGGTTTCTGTTTCACAGTCATCTGGCAGGACGTTAGTACTTCCCTGGGTGGTTGCTGTCTACCAACCTACTACCTACCAAAGTTTATATTTACATGTATTGCAAATAATGTTTATTCTTGTTGTAATGACATGAATCATAACAATTTCACTACTTCACACCATTTCACCATGCTGCAGCTAGGCTCAATTTAAGATTGAAGCAGAAACAGTCTTTGTATAAATAATATGAAGAGATGCACAAATTTTTTTTTTTCAACAAGTCGGCCGTCTCCCACCAAGGCAGGGTGACCCAAAAAAGAAAAAATCCCCAAAAAGAAAATAATTTCATCATCATTCAACACTTTCACCACACTCACACATTATCACTGTTTTTGCAGAGGTGCTCAGAATACAACAGTTTAGAAGCATACACATATAAAGATACACATATCCCTCCAAACTGCCAATATCCCAAACCCCTCCTTTAAAGTGCAGGCATTGTACTTCCCATTTCCAGGACTCAAGTCCGACTATATGAAAATAATCGGTTTCCCTGAATCCCTTCACTAAATATTACCCTGCTCACACTCCAACAGATCGTCAGGTCCCAAGTACCACTCGTCTCCATTCACTCTATCTAACATGCTCATGCACGCTTGCTGGAAGTCCAAGCCCCTCGTCCACAAAACCTCCTTTACCCCCTCTCTCCAACCCTTTCGATGACGACCCCTACCCCACCTTCCTTCCCCTATAGATTTATATGCTTTCCATGTCATTCTACTTTGATTCATTCTCTCTAAATGACCAAACCACCTCAACAACCCCTCTTCTGCCCTGACTAATACTTTTATTAACTCCACACCTTTTCCTAATTTCCACACTCTGAATTTTCTGCATAATATTACACCACACATTGCCCCTTTAAAACAGGACATCTCCACTGCCTCCAACCGCCTCCTCGCTGCTGCATTTACCACCCAAGCTTCACACCCATATAAGAGTGCTGGTACTACTATACTTTCACACATTCCCTTCTTTGCCTCCATAGATAACGTTTTTTGACTCCACATATACCTCAACGCACCACTCACCTTTTTTCCCTCATCAATTTTTATGATTAACCTCATCCTTCATAAATCCATCCGCCGACACGTCAACTCCCAAGTATCTGAAAACATTCACTTCTTCCATACTCCTCCTCCCCAATTTGATATCCAATTTTTCTTTTTCTAAATCATTTGATACCCTCATTACCTTACTCTTTTCTATGTTCACTTTCAACTTTCTACCTTTACACACATTCCCAAACTCATCCACTAACCTTTGCAATTTTTCTTTAGAATCTCCCATAAGCACAGTATCATCAGCAAAAAGTAACTGTGTCAATTCCCATTTTGAATTTGATTCCCCAAAATTTAATCCCACCCCTCTCCCGAACACCCTAGCATTTACTTCCTTTACAACCCCATCTATAAATATATTAAACAACCATGGTGACAAAATATTAACACAAATTAGATGAGGATGATCATAGAATAAACATGGATAAAAAATCTAATGCCAGGACATAATTGCATGAATATGGGTTGGATTTGCAGGCTCACTGAGATTGGCTGTGAAGAGGCTATAATTGGTTACTGCCAACTATGTATAGAAAGGTTAATAAAAACAAATGTTTAATTAGAGAATCTACAAAGAAATACAATACAAAAAAATGCTGTGATTGCAAAATGTTATTCTGAAAATGGTCAGTAGGTGAACTTTCAATTAAGTGAATAAAATAAGACAACTTACTTTTCACAGTTTGATCATCTGAACCAGATGCAAGAAACTTGCCAAGAGGGTGAATAGATATTGATCGAATAATAGAGCGATGGCCTTTGAAAACAAGTCCCTCCATGGTGGGGAATGGCTGTAGGTCTTGAGCCTTTGGTAACACTGGTATAAGATCCTGGTAAAGCAAAAATATAAAATATTAACAATCTCCATCTGCACACTGCCCATTTAGTGAATATTTATCTGTATCCAAAAACAGATAAATCTTAATAACCTAGGGAAATTATGGTATGAATGAAACATGAATAAGTGCGTTACTACAATTCAAGGGTGTCTAAACTAAAAGAAACAAATGTGAAGGGAAAGGAGCAAAAGTAAAAATTGAGGAATTAAGCAAGACCATTTGGGGTGACAATCAGTGCTCCCTCATAGCTGTGCACTTGTACAACCAATACTCAAGTGGCACATACTAAATATTCAGAAGTTACATACTCTCAGTAATAAGAGACTTAATTGAGTCGGTCATATTTTGTTAGTTTAATGATTTTTTCCACAAGATTCATTCTGCTTCTTATATGCTAATGGGCTACAATAATTTCAAAACAGCATGAATGATACAGATAATTCCTACCTGTAGTACACAACACTGCCATACTTGTGCACATGATGACTTTAATACAGCACATAAGTGGAAAAAATTAAAGAGAACACTGGTCACAACTGTTAATATATAAGGGATGAAACCTACAATGCTTTTTAGGGGAGACTCTTAGGAGCCATAGCATATTAGTCAACCTTAACACTGAGTTTATGTGGGTCAGGAATGTAATAATCAGTGAGCTAAGCAAAGGCAGTAAAAAACAATGCTGAAAAATAGACTACTAAGTACAGAATATATACCAAATAAAACAAAGTAAAAGGCCAAGAATAAGACCACCAGTGATGCCAGATAGTAGTGTCAGGCATAAGGAACAAAACTACGAATTGCCAGCAGTTGCCAAACATTCTTGAGCGAGTGGTAGGTAAGGCTAACTACCTTGATAATGATTAACAAAAAAAACTCCCTGTATTCCATAATTCAATTCCTTGTGTCTCAAAGCACATGATTGGAATAATGCAGTTCAATATTAGTGTTGAAGATTTGAAATGAATCAGATGAGGCATTCATAAGTCATCATATGAAAGTGACATCCAAATTTCTTCAATAAAGACAGCACCTCGTATCTATCCTAATTTACAATCAAAAAGTTCCTAGACTGTTGTGAAAAATTATACAGTCTTACCTGACCACCTAGTTCATGTTGTCTCACTGGAAGTCTTCTCCTTGGGAGGCTCTACACTTACCTTCAATACCTTTGATCTTAGCACCTCTACCACTTTCAACACCTCATGCTCAAAATTTCAGTCAAAATGCTTTGACACAACCCATAAAAAATTCCCCACAGCACTTGCAACATCCTGGAAACTCTGACAATGACCTTCATGAATAGTATTCATCACTTTTTCAATGTTGGCATCTGTTTTTGATGTTGATGGACTACCAGAGTGTTCCCTATCCCGTCTGATCGACTGAATTTTGTCCTTCTATGAATCAAGAAAACATTCACAACAGTGTCCAACCCACTGCTTTGTCACCAAATGCTTCCTGAAACATTTTGCATTTCACTATTCATTTTGCCAAGCTTGAAACAGAATGTCTCTCTAAAACACTGACACCACAATACCAAAATTGCGATAAATGCACCTACACATCTAAATTTCACTTTCCACTGCCACCATACTTTTTGGCACTTTCTGTAGTGACCAGAAGTCTAGGAAAACACAATTAACCTCAAGCACTTTCTCTGTGGATTTCTCTTCCCACTCAGGTGATTGCAGATGCTTTACTTGAATGAAAAGAGCATAAGGAATGTCATAGATTTTGATAATTAATTAAAACATGAAGAAATTTATATCTTTCTTTCAACACACCGGCCGTATCCCACCGAGGCGGGGTGGCCCAAAAGGAAAAACAAAAGTTTCTCCTTTTACATTTAGTAATATTTACAGGAGAAGGGGTTACTAGCCCCTTGCTCCTGGCATTTTAGTCGCCTCTTACAACACGCATGGCTTACGGAGGAAGAATTCTGTTCCACTTCCCCATGGAGGTAAGAGGAAATAAACAAGAACAAGAACTAGAAAGAAAATAGAAGAAAACCCAGAGAGGTGTGTGTATAGATATGCTTGTACATGTATGTGTATTGTGACCTAAATGTAAGTAGAAGTAGCAAGACGTACCTGAAATCTTGCATGTGTATGAGACAGAAAAAAAAGACACCAGCAATCCTACCATCATGTAAAGCAATTACAGGCTTCCGTTTTACACTCACTTGGCAGGACGGTAGTACCTCCCTGGGCGGTTGCTGTCTACCAACCTACTACCTAGGAGAAATGTATATATATATCTTTCTTCTTTCAACGTACCAGCCGTATCCCACTGAGGTGGGGTGGCCCAAAAGAAAAAACTGAAGTTTCTCCTTTTAAATTTAGTAATATATACAGGAGAAGAGGTTACTAGCCCCTTGCTCCCGGCATTTTAGTCGCCTCTTACAACACGCATGGCTTACGGAGGAAGAATTCTGTTCCACTTCCCCATGGAGATAAGAGGAAATAAACAAGAATAAGAACTAGAAAGAAAATAGAAGAAAACCCAGAGGGGTGTGTATATATGTGCTTGTACATGTATGTGTAGTGTGACCTAAGTGTAAGTAGAAGTAGCAAGACGTACCTGAAATCTTGCATGTTCATGAGACAGAAAAAAGGACACCAGCAATCCTACCATCATGTAAAACAATTACAGGCTTTCGTTTTACACTCACTTGGCAGGACGGTAGTACCTCCCTGGGCGGTTGCTGTCTACCAACCTACTACCTAGGAGAAATGTATATATATATACATGTATATAAAAAAAAAGAAGAACCAGGTAGAAGTAAAAACAATCCCATATCATCTCTGGAATCCCAAACACACACACCATACCCAGACTCTGTTGGGACAAGCAACTTCCTGTCACAAACAAGCACAGCCAACCAAAAGCTATTCCCCCCTCCTCAATTCTCACCCACCTATTTCCTCTCTTCCCCACCAACACTCCCATAGCTCTCATTCCCCTCCCACTAGTTCCTTCCCTATCTCATACTTATAACACAATCCCTCAAACATCCACTTCACTTGCATCAATCTCTATTGAACCACCACCAACCTCCAATGCCCCTAATTACTCTATTATTTCCCCCTCCTACTATCCTTCCATCACCCCAAAATCACCCACCCCAAGTGTCCAGAAAAGAATAAGACCACTGATCCCAACTCTTCTCCCCTCTCACACTCCCATTTTCACTAAATTACCAATTTCCACAACAAGCCAACCAGCAGGCAAATGCAAAAAAGTGTACACATATGTTCAAAACATAGGAAGGATTCAAACAAAATCAACAAATGAGCACTAACACCTCATGGCAGTAAAAAAAAAAAAAAAAAACACACAGCTGTGATTACTGATGTCACCTCTACTAGGGACTATATATAATATATGCGAGGAAAGGAAGAGGTTTGAGACATGGCAGGCATCATTAACCCTTTGACTGTTTTGGTCGTATATATACGTCTTACGAGCCAGTGTCTCGGATGTATATATACTCAATAATTCTAGCGGCTTCAAATCAAGCAGGAGAAAGCTGGTAGGCCCACATGCGAGAGAATGGGTCTGTGTCGTCAGTGTGCACCATATAAAAAAATCCTGCAGCATGCAGTGCATAATTAGAAAAAAAAACTCCAACTGTTTTTTTGGATTAAAACGCCGACTTTGAGGTATATTTTCGTATAGTATTTATGGTTGTATTCTCGTTTTCATGGTCTCATTTGACAGAATAGAAAACATATTACAGAAATAGAGATGATTTTGATTAGTTTTCTTGTACTCAATTGATAGAAAAAATAGAGTTCTAAAGAAATAGCTATGAGTTTGGTCAACTGGAACAATGGAATTGGCCAAAAATAGGGCTCAAAATAGGTGAAATTGCTGATGCGTATATGTCGCCGAGACCGCTAACTTCGCAGGAGCATAATTCCGTGAGTTTTCCACCAAATTTCGTACTTTTGGTGTCATTACCATCGTGAAAAGATTCTCTATCATTTCATAAAAATTTTCGACATAGAATGACAGTTTCAGAAAGGGGCTTGCGACAGTCAAAGGGTTAATAAGGAAGGGCTGGAGAATGAAGAAATGACAAACACCAGTCATGGCTTATTTCTCAAATTACAAAGCTGGAATGTTAATAGTGGAAAGCCATTTTTTGATTACTATACAACCTCCTCACTAAATATTTAGTGAAGGGATTCAGAGAAGCCGGTTATTTTTATACAGCCGGACTTGAGTCCTGGAAATGGGAAGTACAATGCCTGCACTTTAAAGGAGGGGTTTGGTATATTGGCAGTTTGGAAGGATATGTTGTGTATCTTTATACATATATGCTTCTAAACTGTTGTATTCTGAGCACCTCTGCAAAAACAGTGATTATGTGTGAGTGAGGTGAAAGTCTTGAATGATGATGGTAGTATTTTCTTTTTGAGGATTTTCTTTCTTTTTTGGGTCGCCATGCCTCGGTGGGAGACGGCCGACTTATTAAAAAAAAAAAAAAACCCTCATCAAACAAGAAAAGATCCAGGTTGGAATATAATAAAAAACTTATATGAGAGAGAAATATCATAGACTTGCTGAGGCAGCAAGGTCAAGGTCAACTTCAAGATCACAGACACTTTCAAACATTTAAACAATAAACTAGTAGAACTGAGACCCTCAAGGGGTCACATGTCAAGAAAGATACCGGTAAATAAGTGCCAGTGAATCAGCAAGGATGAACCTCGTATTTTCCAATGCTCCTTTATTGTTAGTCTCACATTAATGATACAAGTAATGTGACGTATTAGTTTGTATTGACAGAAGTGGCTGGGATCAAGAGACAATGTACCAGTGAATAAAGTTATTTGTTACAAGGATGAAGGATTGGACCTCTACTATATTTTGTATTAAAAGACCCACACAAGATTAACATTCTCATAAATTAAGAAAAAATTAGGAACAAGTATCATTTTTATACTGAATATGTTTGACATAACTGATATTGTGATGAATTTCCATTTAATGACCATGTTTTATCCAAACTATACCATTCTGTAATTTAAGTGCTACAAGTCTTTTAAAAATAATAATGTTAATTTATAGTAAATGCGAATAAAATGCTTATGGACAATAAGAACAAAGCATTCAACAACTTGAGCATATAACATATAAATAATATAAATAATTCCAATACCTTTGAAGAAGCGTTGACCCTCAGTACTCTCTTCCGTGGTGCAATGTACAGGTCAATACAACGCTCCCAGCATTCCTGAAGTAATCATTGTTTTTATTTACAATCATCTTAAAAGTAATGATACATTAATAACTTCCCAAACATTAAGACTTCTTTATCAAGATTCACCTTGCTCTTCTTTCAACAAACCAGCCATATCCCACCGAGACAGGCTGGCCCAAAATGAAAAACAAAGTTTCTATTTTTAAATTTAATAATATATACAGGAAAAGGGATTACTAGCCCCTTGCTCCCAGCATTTTAGTCACTTCTTATGACACGCATAACTTATGGGGGAAGAATTCTGTTCCACTCTCCCATGGAGATCTGTCTTGCTAACATTATTAAAATACTTCACTGTACTTTTTGCTAATTTATGTTATGAATGATATCACTCCCGGTAGTCCACAAATGGCATGCTTGGTAAACATTCACAACTTAAAATAAAAAATTTTTTTTTTAAGATGTCGGCAGTTTCCCACCAAGGCAGGGTGACCCAAAAAGAAAGAAAATATTATGGACATGATATAAATGTAGAGTTACAATAAGTGTCAAGATTTTAAAAACAGATCAGGGTCATGATTTTTAAACTGACCTTTAAAATTATACCACCAAATGACAGATCAACCAAAAATTATGTCTAGTGAAAAATATGCTTTTAATATTTGTAATTTGTGTGTATAATTCTGCTGTATTCTAATCCTGAAATTATCCATCAGTTGCTCTGATAATTGCTGAGTAGTGAAAATTTACCCTTTTTTTTTTTTTTTTACACACTGGCTGTCTCCTACTGAGGAAAGGTGACCCCCCCTTCCCAAAAAAATAAGCACTTTCAACATCATTCACACTATCACTGTCTTCCCAGAGGCATACCAACACTACAGTTCAGATTTCCCCTAAAAAACAAATATCCTCACACCTTCAGAGTGCAGGCACTGTGCTTCCCAACTCCAGAAGTCAAGTCCAGCTAACCAGTTTTCCTGAATCCCTTCATAAATATTACCCTGCTCACACTCCAAGAGCCTGTTAAGTCATATAAACCACTTGCTTTCACTCACTCCTATATAACATGCTCACATTCCTGCTGGACATCCAAGCCCCTTGATTAGCAAACATCCTCTACCCCCACCCTCCAACCTTTCTTAAGGCAACCTGCCTTCCCTCCACTACAAATTCATACACCCTCCAAGTCATCCTACTTTATTTCCTCTCTATGTATCCAAACCACCTCAACAAACCCTCCTCAGCCCTCTGGATAATATCATCGTAACCCCGCACCTCCTCCTCATCTCCAAGCTACAAATTTTCTGCATAATCTTTACACCACACACTGGATAATGTTCTTTGTCTCCACAGATGCCTCAATGCACCACTCATCTTTTCCCCTCATCAATTCTATGGTTCACCTTGTCTGCCAACAAGTCCATTCCCAAAATCTCAACGCATTCACTTCCTCCATACTCCCTTCCTCCAATCTGATATCCAATCTTTCATTACCTAAAATTTTTGTTACCTTCATCTCCTTGTTCTTTCCTATGTTCATTTTTAATTTTGTTCTATTACATGCCCTAACAAATTTGTCCACTAATCTTTGCAATTTTTCTTCAGAATCTCCCAAAAGCAGTGTTATCGGCAAAGAGCAACTGTAACAAATCCCATTTTGTATTAGATTCTATACATTTTAATCCCACACTTCTCCCCAACACCCTAGCATTCACTTTCTTTTACAACCCCATCTATAAATATATTAAACAGCCATGCTGATATCATGCATCTCTGTCTAAGACCTACTTTTAATGGAAAATAATCTTCCTCTCCCCTACCTCCTATATTTTAATATTCCTAGCAGTCAAAGTTGATTCTAGAGAAAATGCTAGTTCTGAACACCTGGTGAGACCTTTAACATTTCAAATATGTATATACATGTACTATTACAGACTAAACCATACCACAAGTGGGGATAGAACCCACGCTAGTCACTAGGCCAGCTGGCCCAGTGGCTAGCGCATCGGTCTGGAGTTTTATAACTCTCTGATCACGGGTTCTATCCCCGCCCGTGGTATGGTTTGTTTGCAATTGTGTCATTATGATTTCGTGAGCTATTACAGACTCACTCCATCATGACAAAAATATAGACAACCAATGAACATCCATGAATCGGCAGAAATCTGAATAAGGTCTTGTATAATTTAGGCTTCAAGCTAGAAGACACTAAAATTCTCATGTTAGACCACTACAAAAAGGCTAAGATTACAATAATTAAAAAAAAGTTGAGAGTGAGTTAAACAAGTTAAGAAAGCCTAGAGAACGAATGGATTTGTCAGTTAAAAACAGAGTAGGGGAGTTAGTAGATGGGGAGATGGAGGTTTTGGGTAGATGGCGAGAATATTTTGAGGAACTTTTAAATGTCGACGAAGAAAGGGAAGCGGTAATTTCATGAACTGGCCAGGGAGGTATACCATCTTTTAGGAGTGAAGAAGAACAAGATGTGAGTGTGGGGGAGGTGCATGTGGCATTACATAGAATGAAAGGGGGTAAAGCAGCTAGAACTGACGGGATCATGACAGAAATGTAAAAAGCAGGGAGGAATATAGTGTTGGAGTGGTTCGTATTTTTGTTTAATAAACGTTGAGGTGGTTCGGACATGTAGAGAGAATGGAGCGAAACAGAATGACTTCAAGAGTGTATCAGTCTTTAGTGGAAGGAAGGCGGGGTAGGGGTCGGCCTAGGAAAGGTTAAAGGGAGGGGGTAAAGGAGGTTTTGTGGCTTGGACTTCCAGCAGGCATGCGTGAGCGTGTTTGATAGGAGTGAATGGAGACAAATGGTTTTTAATACTCGACGTGCTGTTGGAGTGTGAGCAAAGTAACATTTATGAAGAGGTTCAGGGAAACTGGTGGGCCGGACTTGAGTCCTGGAGATGGGAAGTACAGTGCCTGCACTCTGAAGGAGGGGTGTTAATGTTGCAGTTTAAAAACTGTAGTGTAAAGCACCCTTCTGGCAAGACAGTGATGGAGTGAATGATGGTGAAAGTTTTTCTTTTTCGGGCCACCCTGCCTTGGTGGGAATCGGCCAGTGTGATAATAATAATAAAAAAAAAAAAACGTATGAAAGAGGAGACGGTACCTAGGGATTGGTGGAGAGCATGTATAGTCCCTTTATATAAAGGGAAGGGAGACAAGAGAGATTGTCAAAATTATAGAGGAATAAGTTTACTGAGTATACCAGGAGAAGTGTATGGAAGGGTTATTATTGAAAGAATTAGAGGTAAGACAGAATGTAGGATTGCAGATGAGCAAGGTTGTTTCAGAGTGGGTAGGGGATGAGTAGATCAAGTGTTTACATTGAAGCATATATGTGAACAGTATTTAGATGAAGGTAGGGAAGTTTTTATTGCATTTATGGATTTAGAAAAGGCATATGATAGAGTAGATAGAGGAGCAATGTGGCAGATGTTGCAAGTATATGGAATAAGTGGTAAGATACTAAATGCTGTAAAGAGTTTTTATGAGGATAGTGAGGCTCAGTTAGGGTGTGTAGAAGAGAGGGAGACTACTTCCTGGTAAAAGTAGGTCTTAGACAGGGATGTGCAATGTCACCATGGTTGTTTAATATATTTATAGATGGGGTTGTAATAGAAGTAAATGCTAGGGTGTTCGGGAGAGGGTGGGATTAAATTATGGGGAATCAAATACAAAATGGGAATTGACACAGTTGCTTTTTGCTGTGCTTATGGGAGATTCTAAAGAAAAATTGCAAAGGTTAGTGGATGAGTTTGGGAATGTGTGTAAAGGTAGAAAGTTGAAAGTTAACATAGAAAAGAGTAAGGTGATGAGGGTATCAAATGATTTAGATAAAGAAAAATTGGATATCAAATTGGGGAGGAGTAGTATGGAAGAAGTGAATGTTTTCAGATACTTGGGAGTTGACGTGTCGGCGGATGGACTTATGAAGGATGAGGTTAATCAGAGAATTGATGAGGGAAAAAAGGTGAGTGGTGCGTTGAGGTATATGTGGAGACAAAAAAACGTTATCCATGGCGGCAAAGAAGGGAATGTATGAAAGTATAGTAGTACCAACACTCTTATATGGGTGTAAAGCTTGGGCTGTGAATGCAGCAGCGAGGAGGCGGTTGGAGGCAGTAGAGACATCCTGTCTAAGGGCAATGTGTGGTGTAAATACAGTGGTCCCTCAATAATCGTCCGGCCTGAAAGTCGTCCATTTCGGAAATAGTTGCGTTATTTCATCTAAACATTGGCTCGCAAATGGTCCGTTAACTCGCTAATCGTCTTTCGACCTGGATGCGTACTCACGGCTCTTAGCACCTCGGCATCCCTTCCCAGCCAGTGTGCCATTGTTTACCAGTGAGCGATGGTCCCTTCATGTGTTCATACGAAATACAGTGGACTCCCGGTTTGCAATGGCATCGGTATCTGATAAATCCGGTATTCGATACATTTTGACGCAAAAATTTTGCCTCGATTACCGTTAAAAAACCCGGTATACGCAATTCGTCCGAGACGTGTCCATGTGTGGCCCAGTGTTTACAAGCCAGCCAGTGTGCTCACATCTAAGGATACATTTGGTACATTCCATATTATCAGTGTTTTTGGTGCTTGTTTCTGCAAAGTAAGTCACCATGGGCCCTAAGAAAGCTTCTAGTGCCAACCCTGTGGTAAAAAGGGTGAGAATTAGTATGGAAATTAAGAAAGATTTTGAAGGATTTGGGGCTAACCCTGAGAAGCCTATGCCAGTTGTGGAATCCATTGTGCCTAATTCAAAAATTAAGGAAATGTGTGCAAAGTGGGTTGAACTGCAAACCTTTATGGATGAAAATCACCCTAACACAGCTATTGCAAGCCGTGCTGGTGACTATTACAATGACAATGTTGTGGCCCATTTTAGATAAATCGTAAAGGAACGGGAGGTACAGAGCTCTATGGACAGATTTGTTGTGCGACAGAGGTCCAGTGACTCTCAAGTTGGTCCTAGTGGCATTAAAAGAAGAAGGGAAGTAACCCCGGAAAAGGACTTGCTACCTCAAGTCCTAATGGAAGGAGATTCCCCTTCTAAACAATTAGTTCAACACTCTCCCCTCCTTCCATCCCATCAATCATCACCAGATCTTCATTAAAGGTAAGTGTCATGTATTCTATTGTTAGTAGAGTACTACAAACTGTGCATGCCTTTTTTAGTTTGTGTGCATTAAACTTAATATTTCATGTGGTAAAATTTTTTTTTTCATACTTTTGGGTGTCTTGCACGGATTAATTTGATTTCCATTATTTCTTATGGGGAAAATTGATTCGCTTTTTGATAATTTTGGTTTACGATGAGCTCTCAGGAACGGATTAATATCTCAAACTGGAGGTCCACTGTATTTCATAATATTCCATTCATTTTAGTGCTTGCAAGTACTAAATAAGCTACCATGGCTCCAAAGAAAGCTCCTAGTACCAAGCCTTTGGTAAAGAAGGTGAGAAATACAATTGAATTTAAGAAAAACATCATTGAACAATACGAAAGTGGCGTACGTGTGGGCGAACTGGCCAGGATGTATAACAAATCCCATACAACCATATCTTCCATCATAGCCAAGAAAAAGGAAATCAAAGAAGCTGTTGCTGACAAAAATGAGATCACCAGTACTCGAAGATGTTGAGAAGTTATTATTGGTGTGGATAAACGAGAAACAATTAGCAGGAGATAGTCTTATGACGTCGATTATTTGTGAAAAGGCTAGGCAGTTGCATGACGATTTGGTAAAGAAACTGCCTGCAACTAGTGATGTGAGTGAATTTAAGGCCAGCAAAGGCTGGTTTGAGAGATTTAAGAAGCGTACTGGCACACACAGTGTGAAAAGGCATGGCGAGGCTGCCAGTTCGGACCAAAAAGCGGCTGAAAAATATGTGCAGGAATTCCAGGAGTACATAGAGGCTGAAGGGCTGAAACCTGAACAAGTGTTCAAATGTGACAAAACAGGCCTCTTTTGGAAGAAAATGCACTGCCAGGACACAAGCCTATGAAAGACAGGCTGACGCTCATGTTCTGTGCTAATGCTAGTGGGGATTTCAAAGTAAAGCCGTTACTAGTGTACCATTCTGAAAATCCCAGAGTGCTCAAGAAAAACAATGTTATGAAGAGACAATTGTGTGAGTTTTGGAGATCTAATAATAAGGCATGGGTCACGAGGGAAATTTTCGTAGAGTGGTTCAATGAAGTGTTTGGCCCTAGTGTAAAGAATTACCCCCTGGAAAAGAAATTGGATCTCAAGTGCCTCCTAGTAATGGACAATGCACCTGCTCATCCTCCAAACTTGGATGATCTAATTCTGAAGGAGTTTGGGTTATCACAGTAGAGTTCTTGCCCCCGAATACCACTCCTCTCCTCCAGCCCATGGACCAGCAGGTTATTTCAAACTTTAAAAAACTCTACACCAAAGCAATGTTTGAAAGGTGCATTAATGTGACCTCAGACACTCACTTGACCCTAAGAGATTTTTGGAAAGAACACTTCAGTATTCTCCATTGCATAAGCCTTACAGGTAAGGCTTGGGAGGGAGTGACTACCAGGACTTTGAACTCTGCTTGGAGAAACTTGTGGCCAGATTGTGTCCACAGGAGGGATTTTGAAGTGTTTGAGGTGGCCCCTGATGAGCCTATGTCAGTTGTGAACTCTATTGTGGCACTGGGGACTTCCATGGGGTTGGATGTGAGTTTGGAGGATGTGGAAGAGTTGGTGGAGGACCATAACGAAGTGCTAACCACTGAGGAGCTGCAAGAGCTTCAGCAGGAAGAGCAACAGAACGCAGCTCAGAATTTTGCTGCAGAGGAGAAGGAAGAGAGATGGAAGAAGGTGCCTTCTTCAGAAATTAAAGAGATTTTTGAAATGTGGGGTAGGATGGAAAGATTTATGGAGAAACATCACCCTGAGAAGGATGTTGCAAGTCATATCGGCAACTTGTACAGTGGCAGAGTCTTGGCCCATAAGTTTTAAAAAGACGCCAGAAACAGAGCTCTCTGGACAGTTTTTTTTGTGAGACAGGACTCCAGTGACTCTCAAGCTGGTCCTAGTGACATTAAGAAACAGAGAAGAGAAGTAACCCCAGAAAAGCACTTGATACCTGAGGTGTTGATGGAAGGGGATTCCCCTTCCAAACAGTAATTCAATCTCTCTCCTCCTCCAGTCTTCCATATACTAAAAAGAATTGCCAATAAAGGTAAGTGTTATGCTGTTAATGTTTCATTCATCATGTCTCATTGTATTGTTTACGTACTACATCTATATTTCGTGCAAAAAATTTTTTTGTTTTAATACTTCTGGGTGTCAGGAACGGATTAATTGTATTTACATTATTTCTTATGGGGAAAATTTATTCGAAAATCGTCTATTTCGATAACAGTCCCACTTCCAGGAACGGATTAAGGACGATAATTGAGGGACCACTGTATTATGCAGAAAATTCGGAGTGTGGTAATTAGGAGAAGGTGTGGAGTTAATAAAAGTATTAGTCAGAGGGCTGAAGAGGGTTGTTGAGGTGGTTTGGTCATTTAGAGAGAATGGATCAAAGTAGAATGACATGGAGAGCATTTAAATCTGTAGGGGAAGGAAGGCAGGGTAGGGGTCGTCCTCAAAAAGGTTGGAAGGAAGGGGTAAGGGAGGTTTTGTGGGCGAGGGGCTTGGACTTCCAGCAGGCGTGCACGAGCGTGTTCAATAGGAGTGAATGGAGACGAATGGTAATTGGGACCTGACGATCTGTTGGAGTGTGAGCAGGGTAATATTTAATGAAGGGATTCAGGGAAACCAGTTATTTTTATATAGCCGGACTTGAGTCCTGGAAATGGGAAGTACAATGCCTGCACTCTAAAGGAGGGGTTTTGGGATATTAGCAGTTTGGAGGGATATGCTGTGTATCTTTATACGTATATGCTTCTAAACTGTTGTGTTCTGAGCACCTCTGCAAAAGCAGTGATTATGTATGAGTGAGGTGAAAGCATTGAATGATGATGAAAGTTAAAAAAAAAAAAAAAAAAATACAATACCAACAAGTTAATAAGTAAGACACGTGTAACAGTTAGGTATCTTAATAGTCGAATACAGAGGGAGCAGCAGAAGCAGTACAGATGTAAAATCAATGTAATCAGTCCATTACCCTTGAAGATGTACTTTTGAGGTGGTCAGTCCCTCAGCCTGGAGAAGAGTTTTGCTCCTCAGTCCAGAACGTTGTTCCAGACTATGGGATTGACCACCTCAAAACTACATCATCAGGGGTGATGGACTGATTACATGGTTTTTATGCCTATACTACTTCTGCCTCCCTCTGTACTCAACTATTAAGATACCTAGCTGTTGCAAATGTGTCTTACTTATCAATATAAAGGAGAGAATGATAGAGAAGGAAGAGGAAAAAGCAGGTAGGAAAAAGTAGAGAGGTATCAAGGCAAATGTTAACAATAACCTAAGCCACAGATATGCATAGGTGGGGTAATAACACCAAATTTATTATGGAAATGATGCATTTTACATATGAATTATACCATTCACTCACATGAATGAAATGCTTATAACCAGGTACTTCACGAAGACTGCCGAATGGTTTGTTGAAATGTGGCAAATATTCACGTGGAGGGTTATAAGAAAACCAATGACCTAAAATGAAAAAAAAAAGAAAAGAAAAATATTAGCATTCAAAATACCAGTGGTCATAAAAATTTATAGTCAATGTAAAAAATATTTAGTCTACTCTGAAAAATAAAATGTTAAGAGATAAAGAGAATTAATAAAACAAAAGTGGTGCACTGCATTAATAAAAAAAAGTTATTCCAGTTAATCGCTGATAATACATGGCAGTGGCATCTACCTGGAAAGAATAATGAAGTGTTCACAGTTTGTACCCAAAACATGTGAGAAACTTCTGAGATGTATTACTGTGCTATAGGACATAAATGCAAAACAAGAAATTTAAACATATAGAAAAAAAAGAGGAGTACTGGGTAGAAAAACAGACCTGCCAAATTGTTTTAAAGTTTGTTTTTGACTAAATTTGTTTTTTTAACACATCGGCCGTTTTCCACCAAGGCAGGGTGACCCAAAAAAGAAGAAACACTTTCATCATCACTCACCCCATCGTTATCTTACCAGAGGTGTACCTATACTACAGTTTATCTCAACTCATCTGTCCTAGCATGAATAGTATTAATAAAAAAAAAAAAACTGTAATAAAACTGAATGAATGATAAAAATGGAAATTAACATACATTACTGACAACTGGGGAGAAATGATATGTCAGACACGGATAGATAGAGGTGAGAAACAGGTAAATGGAGTATAGTTGAAAGTTAAAACTACAAAAAAGTCCAAAGAATGTCAGGAAGTAATTCAGCCTCAAGGTGGTCAAAAAGTGGAATGACCTTAATGAATTTGTGGCCAGGCAGGTCACATGCATAGTTTCAAGAATCGGTACGACAGGCCCTCTAGGTGGTGGTGGTGGGGGGGGGGGGTAGGGGATCTGGCAAAGGACAAGTTGAGAGGTGAGGCCAGGAGTTGAGACTCAACCCCTGTAACAACACACCAAGTACAGTACACACCATCACATCACTCAACAAAGGCTTCATTCATAAAACTGGTGTCCTTAGAGCAATGCCATTTCCTGGATTCCGCATAATAGTGCACGTCACCAAGATAATTCAAGAAACAATGGATGAATTCAATATATCAGCTTCCAAAATTCATTTGACAGCATGGGATAATGCAAGCAATGTTGTCAAGAGGATTGAAAGGACAGGATACAACAGACTGTCATGTTTTCTGCATAAACTTCAACTGGTTATCCATGACTATATCTTCAGCCACTCTCCTCTAGTCTGTAGTACATTAGAAGCTCTTCAAGGACACAATAAATTATCAAACCTGGAGTCAATGGTTCCATGGTTTGGTGCAAGGCCAGGGCTCCTGCTGGATCAAGGAATGATTAACCAGGCTGTTACTGCTAGCCTTAATAATAATAAAAAATACAAGCTCATTCAGAATATACCTATTCACTGGAATAGCCCTATATTAGTGTTAAATCACATCTAAAAAAAAAAAAAAAGAGCCATTGCAATGTACTGTTTAGATAGCACACATATGCCATCATTTGATAGCCTGGTAATAAAAGCCCATTTACTTCCATCTTTTTTTTTTTTGTATAAAATATTTCACAAAACGACTATATGTCTCAGTGAGAGAAATTGTCTCGGAAATATTGCCTCCAGTAAAATGTTCCATCTACGATGTTATAAGTGATCCAAGATTCTGACACTTGTGTAAAACTATCAGCTCTCAAAGTGTCATTGTTAACTAGGTTTGAGTTACGCAATGAAACTCACAAACAACACAAAACTTAGCATATTTGTTGATCCCCAATATAAGAATAACTTTTTCAATGTCAATGCAGTGGATGAGTCATGCAAAACAAATCTCAAAATACAGAAAATTAACAAAGAAGTTCAGGAGAAAATGCAGCAGCTCAAGAACTCAAATGCAATTGGCTTGCTAGCACCATAGTCTGATGAAGAAAGAAAGTCAAGATGACAACAAACTTATGAAGATATACTAGCCAGCATTTCCAGCAACAGCATGTCACAGACATTTGGCTCAGGATCCTTTTCCAAATCACAAAAAGCATAAAAAGAAATATGCTGGTATTTGTGTTATCACATACAAAAAAACAGAAATAAGACAAATATGTACAATGGCATTATTACCTAAGGAAGGAAACCCACTAGAGAGGTGGAGAGAAATTGTAACAGTTCTTCCATCTGTGGTAAACCTAGCCACTAAGTACAAATTGTTCATTCAAATCGTTCATTGAGGGGAAAGACTGTTCATTATTGGAGGAACACATACTCCCAGGAAAGGAAAAGATCAGCTTTCAGAAATGGGTAGATGATGATGCCCCTCAACTTCAATTTGAGTATTTTTAATTTTAACTTTAGAGTAATGTATATATGTATAAGCTATTGTTTATTTCTAATTTTGGGTATTAGTATGCATTTTTTCTATTTTTCAAAAAGGTTCAGAAAACTTTCAGTTGTCTAATGGAAATGTGTCAGTTAATTCACTTTAATAATGAAAATATTGCTCAAATTTTGGACTATAATTTCAGATTTTCAATTTCCAGGAGGAGGTGCAAAATTACCAAAACTATTATCCAGAGGGCTGAGGAGGGGTTGTTGAGGTGGTTCGGACATGTAGAGAGGATGAAAGGAAATAGAATGACTTTGAGAGTGTATAAATCAGTAGTGGAGGGAAGGCAGGGTAGGGGCTGGTCTAGAAAAGGTTGGAGGGAGGGAGGTAAAGGAGGTTTTGTTTGCGAGGGGCTTGGACTTCCAGCAAGCATGCGTGAGCAAGTTAGATAGGAGCAAATGGTTTTTAGGACTTGACGTGCTGTTGGAGTGTGAGCAAGGTAACATTTATAAAAGGATTCAGGGAAACCTGCAGGCCAGACTTAAGAGTCCTGGAGATGGGAAGTACAGTGCCTGAACTCGGAGGAGTGATAATGTTGCAGTTTTATGACTGTAGTGTAAGCACACCTCTGGCAAGACAGTCAGGGAGTGAATGATGATAAAAGTTTTTCTTTTTTCGGGCTACCCTGCCTTGGTGAGAAGCGGTAATGAGTTAATAAAAAAAATACAATACTTAATATTTTTCAGTTTTCAAAATATTTTTAAAGCTTTAACCCTTTCAGGGTCCGTGCCGTAGATCTACAGCTTTACGTTCAGGGTCCAAACCGTAGATCTACGCCATGAGCTCAGCTCACTCTGATAAGCCGTGAGTGGTAAATTTGGGCCTAGATATGAGAGAATACATCTATGTGGTATGTGTGCACCACATAAAACAAATCCTGCAGCACACAGTGTATAATGAGACAAAAAAAAACCGAGACCACGATTTTCGATTAAAACAGTGACTTTGCAGTGTTTTTTCATATGTTTTTTATAGTTGTATTTGCGATTTCTTTTTCTCATTTGATAGAATGGAAGACATATTACAGAAATAGAGATGATTTTGATTGGTTTTAGCACTGGAAATGGCTTGAAACGGAGCTCAAAGAAGCGGAAATTTTAAATTTATGCCGATGTTCATGAGTAAACAAACGACCTCACACGTCTAATACACGCCAGTTGGTGGGTCTAATATACATTCGCAAATGTGGTGATGATATTTATACAATTATTACAATATTGCATAACAGTAAATCTTCTATTTTTTAATTTCAATAAAAATTCATTATGTGAATAAAAAATCAAAATGGAATTCATTTGTGAAGTATCAAAACGTAACTAATGAACAGAGAAAATGTTAGTTTAGTGCCAGGAATACCTACATTGTTTATTCTGGGCCCTATTTTGAAATTGGAATATTTTGAACTTTGTGTTAAATTGGCCAAATTACCAATTTCCAATCACTTTATTTTTGTACTTGAAACAGTTGACTTGGTGATTTCTTGTGCTCAATTGATAGAATAGAAGTAATACTAGTGAAATAGCTAAGAATTTGGTCGACTGGAATAATGTAATTGGACTAAAATGGGAGTCAAAGCTGTCAAAATCGCCGATTCGTAAATATCACTGACACATCAAAATTCACGAGAGCATAATTTCGTCAATTTTCCATTAAATTTTGTACTTTTTGTTTTATTACCTTCAGAAAAAAAATTCTCTACCATTTCATAAGAAAAAAATAATTTTTTTTTTTTTTAAATTCTTGGACCCTGGTGCGCACTTTGATATTTGGCCTCTGGACCCTGAAAGGGTTAAATAAAGTGTTGCATCCTTTAGTTTCATGTTTGGTATAGCAAGAAATTATTCAGACTTTTACTTTCATAATTTATATCTGATTATGTCTTCAACAATTAATAATATGTAGACAGACTCAAAATTTTGATTTTTTTTGTATTCAATTTGAAAGCCTCACATTAATGAATGTAATTAGTAATAACATAGGTACCTGTTTAACCTTGCTGGTTTATTTAACATCTACTAAGCAATAAACATTCCCTTGTATACTGAACATAGTTATCATAATTTTAATAATAAAATATAAAACAATAAGTATTGGCATCAACCTTAAATTGGGTATCCGCATCAATAAATATTTTGGCACCATCCCATCCCTAATCGAATTCATAAAAAATATTAAAGAATGGGCTAAACAGATAAAAATCTTAAAATAAGAATGAATTTTTACTGACCTGGTAATTTTACCTTTGGTGCTGGCATAGGATCGTGTATTCTCCTCAGCCTCTTTTTATCAGACCACAAATCATAAAAGTGATATTTTTTTTCCCTTTTATGAGTATACTGTATGAGACCTCTTCTGATTTGTTCAGCTCTCTTAGCAACATACGCAGCTTCATCCTACATAAACAAGATACTTGGTAAAATAGGGAAGATAGGGAGAGACAAATGCAATGAATTTTTTTTTAACATACTAATGGGGAGAGGGCAGTGTCCATTAAATCAGACTTTCTCTCCATAATTATACCAACAATAGACAATTATGGATTTAATAAACACTGTTCATTAAATCCAAAATAAATATACTAAGCATACCACAACAATAGTGGATAATTTTAGATTTAACATACATTGTTTCTGGATGTTGTCTGGCTACACATTTCATCAATTAAATCTACAATCCTTTAAATCATAATTTCTTAAATCAAGATTTTATTATACAAACAAGTACAAAAGAATCTACAGCAGGGCCTCACTTTACAGTGTTTCACTAATACAGCAATTTTCATCATACTATTCTTCATTTATTCAGACTTCCTACAATCAATATACGTATTCACAACTCACTATGAGCTATGTACAAAAATATTTTAAGATAAGTAATGTGTGTACTGTGTATGCATTTTTTAGATCTAGCTCTATTGCTTAATATATGATAGTATAAGCATGTTATCAGGCTTTTATATGTACATATGAAAGTGAAAAAGAGGCTGTTTCACTTTACAACAATTTCTGCTTGACACCACTAGCCCGGAACCTAACCTGTTGTAGAAGTGGGGCCCTCCTGTATACAACTGCCTAGTACAACAAGCATTTTAAAATGTAATTCTTAATTTATCAGTTGAAGTACAATAAATTATTATTTTCTATAATGCACTTTAATTATTATTTAAGCCATCCATATTAACAAGCGCATACAAACCTTGGAGGGAACAAACGATTTTTTAGAATCTGTGCGACCTGATAAAGGCATTTCCATGACTTCATAAGTGAAGTGGTCAATCCAAGGTGCATAATAGTCATAGCTGGCATCTGGCACTTTCTGGGACATTACACGCTTAACAATATCCAAGTCTGCATCACTTAGTCGAACATCTTGACCAGTCTGCTTATCAAAGACAGTTCGGCTGTTGAAGTTTAAGTAGTTATTGATCATGTTTACTGGTATATACAGAATTAAAATGTTCACATACCAAGTTTTCTGCATAATTTACAATCAAAACTGGTTTAACTATTCAAGTAACCTGTAACACTTGCATGGTGAGGAGGGGTACGAGTGAAGCAAAATTCTACAGTGGGAAAGATAAATGACAAAATCTCTTGACCAGTTGAACTAATACAGTGGACCCTTGACTAACGATGGCATCGACTAATGATAAAATCGGGTAATGATGTGTTTTTGTGTAAAAATATTGGCTTGACCAACAATGAAAAACTAGGGTAAGGACATTCGTCCCAAATGCGTCCACATGTCCGTCCAGCCTGAGCGCCTCAGCTGCCCTGCCTTCAGCTAGTGTGCCATTGTTTACAAGCTGTACTACTCGAAGATGTGGCAAGAGCGCTGTTGGTGTGGCTTAATGAGAAACAATTACCGAGAAACAATTAACCCCAGAGGGTTAGCCACCCAGGATAACCCAAGAATGTCAGTGAGTCATCGAGGACTGTCTACTAAGTTATTTCCATTGGGATCCTTAATCTTGTCCCCCAAGATGCGACCCACACTAGTTGACTAACACCCAGGTGAACAGGAAAAAATGCCTGGAACTAGTGCTCATAATGGTGAATTTAAGGCCAGCAAAGGTTGGTTTGAGAGATTTAAGAATTGTAGTGGCATACACAGTGCGATAAGGCATGGCGAAGCTGAAAAATTCCAACCCCCAACAAGTGTTCAATTGTGACGAAACAGGCCTGTTCTGGAAGAAAATGACAAACAGGACCTACATTACTCAGGAGGAAAACGCACTCCCAGGACACAAGCCTACGAAAGACGGACTCTCATGTTTTGTTGTAATCCTAGCGAGGATTGCAAAGTGAAGCCTTTACTCATGTATCACTCTGAAAATCCCAGTGTGTTCAAGAAAAACAGTGTTTCATCACTCAATACTCTTCAATAAAAGTAAGTGTCATTTTAGTATTTATTTATGTATTTATTGTGCATGTCTCATTGTTTTCTTTGTAGGGAAATGTATATTTCATGTAAAAAAATTTTTTTTTTTAATACTTTTGGCTGTCTGGAACAGTTTAATTGGATTTCCATTATTTCTTATGGGGAAAATTAATTCGGCTAACGATAAATTCGGCTAAGGACAAGCTCTCTGGAACAGATTAAAATCGTTGGTCGAGGGTCCACTCTACACAAAACTTATTAGTTTTAAATTTAAGAGCATGACCTACACAATCAAGGTACAGTTATGGGAGTAAGAGTGCAGTTATGGGATTTAACATCTCAAAATTCAGTGTGTTCAGAACAATAAAATGGAGATAACACACGAAGCACACAACTGAACACAAGAACAAAAAGCATGTTAGACAAGAGCAAGTGGAGTTAAGTGGTTTTTATGATTTGGCATGCTGGTGGAGTGTGAGCAAGGTAACATTTATGAAGGGATTCAGGGAAACCAATTAGTCAAAGGTGAGAGTCCTGAAGGCAAGAAGTACAGTGACCCCTCTGAAGGAGGGGTGGGGATGTTGCAGTTCGGAAAGTCTTTTGAGCTGTGATATCAGTTTGCTTCTGGCAGGACTGTGATTAAATGAAGGACTGTGAAAGAGTTTCTTCTTTTCCAGGTCACTCTACATTGATAGGAGACTGCCAATGTAAAAAAAAAAAGAAAGAAAGAAAAAAATTCTAATATCTCTTTGCATTTGATTTAAGGCTTCATAATTAGGAAAGAGGCTAGGAGCTGCTGGTTCCCTGCAACAGGTTACCTTACATCTGCTATCCTTGTTTACATGAAATGTAAAAACATTACCTAAATCTTCTTTTTAGAAATTAATAGAACACTTCATCTTACATTTATTTACAACTCTTCATTCTAACAATCAGTCATATGCAATACTTACTCAAAGTCAGGATTCTCTATCCTGTTTAAGAAGTTGTCCAGCGTGTCACCACGTTTGGGCTTAATAATGTGTTTACCATCCAGGTTATAACCCAAATGTGGATATTCATCATACCATTTAAGGGGCACATTTCCTATGGGTGAAAAAAAAAATCATAATTAATTTAAAATAATATAGTTGCAACATACATACAGTCCCTACAATAACCAAAGAAATTTTTGAACCAACATTCCTAAAGTTTAAGTTTCTCAAAATAATAATAATTATACTTGAACACTTAAATAAGTTTTGGTTTTAAATTTATATTTTGTGACAAATAAACTACAGCGGTACCTCGGTATATGTCCAGCTCCCAACTCAAACAATTATGTAAGTGTATTTCTGCGAGTGCTTTTGTAAGTGTATTTTTGGGGGGTCTAAAACGGATTAATCTACTTTACATTGGTCCTTATGGGAACAAATTCGTTTGGTACTCGAAGAGATCGGCACTTGAACAGCTTTTTGGAATTATGGTTGTTTACTGAGGTACCACTGTACTTGCACATTCTGAGTTCAGAGGTTCTGCGCATATTTGAGACACTACCACCACTTTTGTACATAATATCTGCTTCTCGTATTTTATAAAATCATGGGTATAAAAATGAGAGGAACCAGGATAAAAAGTGTGTAAAGTGCAATCATCATTCAGTGTGAATCAGTTTAGTTGATAAACTCTTATTATGTGATAACAAAGGATGTGTGTGTGTTGGCAATGTTCACATCTGCTCCCTTTCCCTTTGCTTCTCCCATCCTCTGCTCCTTTCAACACTTATTTGTCTGAAAATGTGTGGGATATAATACTGTATTTTAGTTTTTATTGAACTAAAATTAACAACATGAAATGAATAGTTTATATTTACAAAAGCATGAGATATAGACAGAGACCTTTGGGCCATCACAACCCTTAAGCCTAACAACAGGAACAGGGCATGATGATAATCTAAGTTTTTTTTATTTTAATAATTTTTTTGCACATTTTTATGGATAGCTTGCAGTTATATGAGAGGAGTGTTACGCTAGGCCTTTTTCTTTTTTTTAACAAGTCGGCCGTCTCCCACCAAGGCAGGGTGACCCAAAAAAGAAAGAAAATCCCCAAAAAGAAAATACTTTCATCATCATTCAACACTTTCACCACACTCACACATTATCACTGGTTTTGCAGAGGTGCTCAGAATACAACAGTTTAGAAGCATATACGTATAAAGATACACAACATATCCCTCCAAACTGCCAATATCCCAAACCCCTCCTTTAAAGTGCAGGCATTGTACTTCCCATTTCCAGGACTCAAGTCCGACTATATGAAAATAACTATAAATATAAATATAAATATAAATATAAATAGGCATATTTAGTATAAATATCTTGTCTTTAGAAAATTTGAAAATTTTCTTCTTATTCTTTTTAGTAATTATTACAGGAAAAGGGGTTACTAGCCCATTGTTCCCGGCATTTTAGTTGACTTTTACAACACACATGGCTTACGGAGGAAAGATTCTTATTCCACTTCCCCATGGATATAAAAGGAAAAGTAATAAGACCAAGAGCTAGTAAGATAAAATCAAAGAAAACTCAGATGAGTGTATATAAATAAACATGTACATGTACGTGTAGTGTGACCTAAGTGTAAGTAGAAGTAGCAAGACGTATCTGAAATCTTGCATGTTTATGAGACAGAAAGAAGGCACCGGCAATCCTACCATCATGTAAAACAATTGCAGGTTTCCGTTTTACACTCACTTGGCAGGACGGTACCTCCCTGGGCGGTTGCTGTCGACCAACCTACTACTGTTAAAGAAGGGGTTCGGGATATTGGCAGTTTGGAGGGGTTAAACAAGTTAAGAAAGCCTAGGGAAAGTATGGATTTGTCAGTTAAAAACAGAGTAGGGGAGTTAGTAGATGGGGAGATGGAGGTATTAGGTAGATGGCGAGAATATTTTGAGGAACTTTTAAATGTTAAGGAAGAAACAGAGGCAGTAATTTCATGCACTGGTCAGGGAGGTATACCATCTTTTAGGAGTGAAGAAGAGCAGAATGTAAGTGTGGGGGAGGTACGTGAGACATTACGTAAAATGAAAGGGGGTAAAGCAGCTGGAACTGATGGGATCATGACAGAAATGTTAAAAGCAGGGGGGGATATAGTGTTGGAGTGGTTGGTACTTTTGTTTAATAAATGTATGAAAGAGGGGAAGGTACCTAGGGATTGGCAGAGAGCATGTATAGTCCCTTTATATAAAGGGAAAGGGGACAAAAGAGACTGTAAAAATTATAGAGGAATAAGTTTGCTGAGTATACCAGGAAAAGTGTACGGTAGGGTTATAATTGAAACAATTAGAGGTAAGACAGAATGTAGGATTGCAGATGAGCAAGGAGGTTTCAGAGTGGGTAGGGGATGTGTAGATCAAGTGTTTACATTGAAGCATATGTGAACAGTATTTAGATAAAGATAGGGAAGTTTTTATTGCATTTATGGATTAGAAAAGGCATATGATAGAGTGGATAGAGGAGCAATGTGGCAGATGTTGCAAGTATATGGAATAGGTGGTAAGTTATTAAATGCTGTAAAGAGTTTTTATGAGGATAGTGAGGCTCAGGTTAGGGTGTGTAGAAGAGAGGGAGACTACTTCCCGGTAAAAGTAGGTCTTAGACAGGGATGTGTAATGTCACCATGGTTGTTTAATATATTTATAGATGGGGTTGTAAAGGAAGTAAATGCTAGGGTGTTCGGGAGAGGGGTGGGATTAAATTTTTGGGAATCAAATTCAAAATGGGAATTGACACAGTTACTTTTTGCTGATGATACTGTGCTTATGGGAGATTCTAAAGAAAAATTGCAAAGGTTAGTGGATGAGTTTGGGAATGTGTGTAAAGGTAGAAAGTTGAAAGTGAACATAGAAAAGAGTAAGGTGATGAGGGTGTCAAATGACTTAGATAAAGAAAAATTGGATATCAAATTGGGGAGGAGGAGTATGGAAGAAGTGAATGTTTTCAGATACTTGGGAGTTGACGTGTCGGCGGATGGATTTATGAAGGATGAGGTTAATCATAGAATTGATGAGGGAAAAAAGGTGAGTGGTGCGTTGAGGTATATGTGGAGTCAAAAACGTTATCTATGGAGGCAAAGAAGGGAATGTATGAAAGTATAGTAGTACCAACACTCTTATATGGGTGTGAAGCTTGGGTGGTAAATGCAGCAGCGAGGAGACGGTTGGAGGCAGTGGAGATGTCCTGTTTAAGGGCAATGTGTGGTGTAAATATTATGCAGAAAATTTGGAGTGTGGAAATTAGGAAAAGGTGCGGAGTTAATAAAAGTATTAGTCAGAGGGCAGAAGAGGGTGTTGTTGAGGTGGTTTGGTCATTTAGAGAGAATGGATCAAAGTAGAATGACATGGAAAGCATATAAATCTATAGGGGAAGGAAGGCGGGGTAGGGGTCGTCCTCGAAAGGGTTGGAGAGAGGGGGTAAAGGAGGTTTTGTGGGCAAGGGGCTTGGACTTCCAGCAAGCGTGCGTGAGCGTGTTAGATAGGAGTGAATGGAGACGAATGGTACTTGGGACCTGACGATCTGTTGGAGTGTGAGCAGGGTAATATTTAGTGAAGGGATTCAGGGAAACCGGTTATTTTCATATAGTCGAACTTGAGTCCTGGAAATGGGAAGTACAATGCCTGCACTTTAAAGGAGGGGTTTGGGATATTGGCAGTTTGGAGGGATATGTTGTGTATCTTTATATGTGTATGCTACTAAACTGTTGTATTCTAAGCACCTCTGCAAAAACAGTGATAATGTGCAAGTGTGGTGAAAGTGTTGAATGATGATGAAAGTATTTTCTTTTTGGGGATTTTCTTTCTCTTTTGGGTCACCCTGTCTCGGTGGGAGACGGCTGACTTGTTGGAGAAAAAAAAAAAAAAAAAAAAAAAAACTTCTAAACTGTTGTATTCTGGGCACCTCTGCAAAAACAGTGATTATGTGTGAGTGAGGTGAAAGAATTGAATGATGATAAAAGTATTTTCTTTTTGGGGATTTTCTTTCTTTTTTTTTGGGGTCACTGCCTCGGTGGGAGACGGCTGACTTGTTAAAAAAAAAAAATCTTGTCTTATGACCAAAATTTGTTATGCGGCGAGCGGTCTTTCAAATACGGCACGCCCCACCTGGTTGGTTTACATTCTCCGTGAGCATATCACTCTATTATGTCTGGAAATTTTCCAAAATTTCAAGTGTTTTCAAGTTACTGTGTATTTTATATATACAGTGGACCACCGCATAGTGACTTTAATCCGTGCAAGAGGGCTGATTGTTATGCGAAATGTTCGGTATGCGAATGAATTTTCCCCATAAGAAATAATGGAAATCAAATTAATCCGTGCAAGACACCCAAAAGTATGAAAAAAAAATTTTACCACATGAAATATACATTTTCCTACACACAAAGAGAAGGATACATGCACAATAGAGTAGAGCACAGTAGAGTAGTACATGCACAATATATATTGTGCATGTACTACTCTACTAAATGAAGAATAAATGACACTTACCTTTATTGAAGATGCAGCAATGACTGATGAGACACTGTGTCCTGGGAGTGCCTTTTCCTCCTGAGTACTGTAGGTCCTGTTTGGCATTTTCTTCCAGAACAGGCCTTATCACACTGTGTATGCCACTACGATTCTTAAATCTCTCAAACCAACCTTTGCTGGCTTTAAATTCACCAATATGAGCACTAGTTCCAGGCATTTTTCCCTGTTCACCTGGGTGTTAGTCGACTGGTGTGGGTTGCATCCTGGGAGACAAGATTAAGGACCCCAATGGAAATAAGTTAGACAGTCTTCGATGACACTGACTTTTTGGGTTATCCTGGGTGGCAAATCCTCTGGGGTTAATTGTTTCTTGGTATTCTCAATAAGCCACACCAACCACGGTGCTACAGCAGCAGCAGCAGCTGACGGTGGTACAGCAGCAACAGACGATGCTACAGCAGCAACAGACGATGCTACAGCAGCAGCAGACGATGCTACAGCAGAAACAGATGATGCTACAGCAGCAGCAGACGATGCTACAGCAGCAGCAGACGATGCTACAGCAGCAGCAGCAGCTGAC